CCCCTCCTCCTCTCCCTCAGTCTCCCCCCCCTCCTCTCCCTCAGTCTCCTACCTTGTAGCGTGGCCGAGCGCCGCGGAGCTCAGTCTCCTGTACCCGGCGGACAGGAAGTGCTCTCTCTGTGAGCACTTCTTTTCCGTCCGCCCTGGTACAGGAAACCGCGGTGCGCTCGGCCACGCTACACAGAGTGCCTGGCAGGAGGGAGCGCTGTGCGCTCACCTCCTGCCGGTCACTCCGGCTTTGCTCCCGCCGGGCCGGTGCGCCCTAAGGCGGCCACTTGTGCCGCCTTATGGATGCGCCGGCGGAGCGCACGGCGACCTATGGCCGCGTGCCCACAGAGGGGGCGCAGCGTGCCCACAGAGGGGGCGCAGCGTGCCACCTGTGGCACGCGTGCCATAGGTTCGCCACCACTGCCTTAGGGTTACAAAAAAAAAAAAAATTTAACCCTTAAGTGTAAAAAAAAAAAAATAGATCACAGTAAAGTACTGTGACCTGTATATTGATCACTGCTAGCAGTGATCAAGCAGCAGGGAAAGGGTTAATTTTTTTTTTTTGACAGGGGAAAGGGATAGGAAATTTTTATTATAACTTAACTAATATTCAGGGAAACAATGTAGCACCGATCCGTCTCTCTCCACTTCACAAACCCAGGTGGAGAGAGGCGGATCAGATGTCCCAGCAGCATTGTGACCGCTGTGACTGGCTGTCACAGCAATCACATGGGCTGAGACATCGCGATTTGCTGTTGCTGGTCTGCCCCTGACTCGGAGGCACCCAGCAACGGCGATCGCGGGGTTAATTTTACAGCGTGACGGACAAGGTCCGTCACCCGTCGTTAAGGGCATCCCCAGGATGACGGACCTCGTCCGTCACCCGTCCTGAAGGGGTTAATCGGCCGTGTTTATATGGAAATGCCAGCAGCGACAGTGTGTAGACACCAGATCAACTACATTAAGCTGTAGTTGTTCTGGTGAGTTGTTTCCTTTAAGATTGTAGTAGTTTAGAGGCTGGCACTGTTGATTGGAATTATGCCAAAATATGTTGTTGGGGCCTCGGCTAAATTTAATCATTAATCTGTGAACGGCAGTGAATTTTCAAAGAAATGTAATATTTTAGGCCACAATTCAGTGCTGAAATGGAAAACTTCTCAATATTATTTTTGCCTGAGATTTTAAAATTCCCAGGGTACTAAATAATCACAAGAAGAAAAAAATAATACATACATACATACATACATACATACATACATACATACATACATACATACATACATACATACATACATACATACATACATACATACATACATACATACCCCTTGCTTCGACTCTTCCTACCTCAAGATGGCGCCACAAATTCGCTTTGACTGGCGTCTTCCTGAAATAGTTTGGCAAATCCCAGAATGCTTTGCTACTACAGCCAATATAAGGCTGAGCTGGAAGCGGAAGTTTACACAGGAACAGCGGTCGTGCGAGATGTGGTCGTGAATGGTCTCTCCTCTCCCTCCCTCCCGCCTTCCCCGGTATGCATGGTCTCTCCGTATGAATGTCTCGCTGCTCCTGTGCTTTCCCATTACACACTGATCTTATTTGATCTCCCCTGCGTGTCGCAGCCTACACCAGGGGCGAGATGATGAAACCACTCTGGCTAAGCCCCCAGTGGGTTGTGTGCGCTGAGCTTAGGTCTGTAGGCTGCTGCACCCGACATGATGAATTGATCAGATATACTAGACCGGGAGGCTCTCACGGGGACCTCTTCTGTCTGTGAGTATAAAGGCGATTCTGATCGGAGTGCCGTTAGCCCAGCATGCAATGCCTGAGGGCCGCGAGTGTGTGGGCGGGCACAGAGCGCTCGCCAGTTGTAAGTTTTAGCGCGTTGTCTGATTGAAGCAGTTACTGCGGATAATGAGCGTATGGTGCCGGGCACCTGGCCGGCCCGCTCTAATCGCCTGGCCCGACCGTATTCTGTACTGCGATACGAATTCAATTCTCCCGTAAAGTATCGCTCGATAGTGCTATGTGGTCAAATAAAGGGGGAAGCAGATACAGAGAGCAACCTATCTTTATTTAACACGGTGCGAAAAGGTTATGTCTCCGTTGGACAGACTAGGCTTTATGGTCAGATGCTGTAATATCCTCCGTCATGTTTTCGGGAGTATCCACGGTTAGTTGCTGCGGTGTGGTGGCTTACTACAAATGAGAAGAGACAAGTAATTGGTTGGAGTTAGCTGTTGATGAACTATTAACCAGTAAAAGGCTGTCTTATTGATGAGTGTTTGCTAGACTAAGACACTGGCCACATATGCATTTTAACCCCTTCCTGACACTAGTGTTAAACGCACTGTTTAGGTCTCGGTAATAAAATGTATTTCATTATCATTTCACGATCAGGTCAGGAATACAAACGTGTATATCTGGCTCTTTAGTGCCTCTCCTTGCATCCCGCCCCTCCTCCGCCTTAAAAAGCATAAAAGGCTTACCTTTGTGTGTGGTTTATTTTTTTTATTTTTTTTTAAATATAAAGCTGACCCTGCTCAGCCTTTAAGGCTGAGATCTTCCGAATTGACCATCTCAGCCAATCCAATGCTTTTTTTTTTTTTTTTTTTTTTTTTATTAGGAAATTTTGTTTTTGAATTACAAAACAGTTCAAAAAATACATACATACATTCATACAAAATACATCCGATTTGATAATAAATCTTTTTATGTGAAGAAGATACTTTCATTAAGATATGTCAATCAATCGAAGAAGAAAAAAATACATAACGAGAAACAGGAAGTCATGAATATGGAATAAACAAAAGTCTATAGAAAATAATAAGAGGTATATCAGTGGAAATAAGCGCAAATTTAGATACATGTTATCAATAAGATAAATTCCGCTACCCAAATAGAATTACATCTTCCATAAACACGTCGCCTAAGAGATTTATAAATTACCATAAAGTAGAGAACAGTTTTTTAGCCAAGTTGAATACCAGTCTCTTTTTTTAGAGAACACTGACCAATTTTTAACCATATCGTTTTCCATTGTCAGTTGGAATTTAATTTGATTAAAGGACCACTATAGTGCCAGGAAAACATACTCGTTTTCCTGGCACTATAGTGCCCTGAGGGTGCCCCCACCCTCAGGGCCCCCTTCCCGCCCGGCTCTGGAAGGGGGAAAGGGGTTAAAACTTACCTTTTTCCAGCGCTGGGCGGGGAGCTCTCTGCCTCCTCTCCTCCTCCTGGGCTGAATGCGCACACGCGGCAAGAGCTGCGCGCGCATTCAGGCCGTCTCATAGGAACGCATTTACAATGCTTTCCTATGGACGCTTGCGTGCTCTCACTGTGAAAATCACAGTGAGAAGCACGCAAGCGCCTCTAGTGGCTGTCAATAAGACAGCCACTAGAGGGAATGGGGGGAAGGCTTAACCCATTCATAAACATAGCAGTTCATCTGAAACTGCTATGTTTATTAAAAAATGGGTTAACCCTAGAAGGACCTGGCACCCAGACCACTTCATTAAGCTGAAGTGGTCTGGGTGCCTAGAGTGGTCCTTTAATTAGGGAAATTTTCTGAAAAGGATCGGAAGATTTCCACTGTCTAGCTATAGTAATTTTAGCTGCAATAAAGCAGTGGATAGCTAAACAAATATGTTTACTTGATTTAAAAGGCCAGTTCAGATGAAGGAGGGCCGATGCTGGATTTTTATTTATATCTTTAAATGATACCTCATTCAAAGATATTTCAGAAAAGATATTATAGACCCAGGCCCATAGTGGTTTTTCTACTGGGCAAAATCACCATGTGTGGATATATGTACCTGAATAGGTACCACATCTCCAGCAAGTAGGATCTTGAGAAGTATACATTTTAGCCAATCTTGTCGGAGTGTAGTACCATCTGTGAAGTAACTTCAGTCAAGTTTAGACCGTGGACAAATTTATTTACTAGAATTATAGAGGAAAACCAATCCAATGCTTTCAATAGGATAAGATGGTGCACTGCATACTGAGAAAGCACCTCTAATGGCCGTCTAGATGACTGGCGGTGGCCCTAGGCAGTAAACTCTGCCTTTCATCAGAAAAGGCAGTGTTCACGTGAAAAATCTTACAGTGATATACTATACTATATACTATACGATATACTATACTTGCCAGAACAACTACATTAAAGGACCACTATAGTGCCAGGAAAACATACTCGTTTTCCTGGCACTATAGTGCCCTGAGGGTGCCCCCACCCTCAGGGTCCCCCTCCCGCCCGGCTCTGGAAAGGGGAAAGGGTTAAAAACTTACCTTTTTCCAGCGCTGGGCGGGGAGCTCTCCTCCTTCTCTCCTTCTCCGATCCTCCTCCTGGGCTGAATGCGCACGCGCGGCAAGAGCTGCGCGCGCATTCAGCCCGTCGCATAGGAAAGCATTTACAATGCTTTCCTATGGACGCTTGCGTGCTCTCACTGTGAAAATCACAGTGAGAATCACGCAAGCGCCTCTAGTGGCTATCAATGAGACAGCCACTAGAGGATTAGGGGGAAGGCTTAACCCATTCATAAACATAGCAGTTTCTCTGAAACTGCTATGTTTATGAAAAAATGGGTTAACCCTAGCTGGACCAGGCACCCAGACCACTTCATTAAGCTGAAGTGGTCTGGGTGCCTAGAGTGGTCCTTTAAGTTGTAGTTGTTCTGGAGACTGTAGCGTCCCTTTGACCCCTTAGTGTTCAGACAGCTTTTCAATTTTCTTACCTAAAGACCAGGGTTGTTTTTACATTACTGCTGTGTCTGTGTTTTACCTCTCATTTATTTACTGTACCCACATACTGTTTTCTTGTCATTAAAGGACCACTCTAGGCACCCAGACCACTTCAGCTTAATGAAGTGGTCTGGGTGCCAGGTCCTTCTAGGGTTAACCCATTTTTTCATAATTATAGCAGTTTCAGAGAAACTGCTATAATTATGAATGGGTTAAGCCTTCCCCCTAATCCTCTAGTGGCTGTCTCATTGACAGCCACTAGAGGCGCTTGCGTGCTTCTCACTGTGATTTTCACAGTGAGAGCACGCAAGCGTCCATAGGAAAGCATTGTAAATGCTTTCCTATGCGACGGGCTGAATGCGCGCGCAGCTCTTGCCGCGCGTGCGCATTCAGCCGGCGGGGCGTAACGGAGGCGGAGAGGAGGCAGAGAGCTCTCCGCCCAGCGCTGGAAAAAGGTAAGTTTTTACCCCTTTCCCCCTTCCAGAGCCGGGCGGGAGGGGGACCCTGAGGGTGGGGGCACCCTCAGGGCACTATAGTGCCAGGAAAACGAGTATGTTTTCCTGGCACTATAGTGGTCCTTTAAATGGTCTTTCTAAAGATACCATTATTTTCATCATAATTTACTATAAAAAAAATGTTTATAAAATATGATGAGGGGGGAATGTAAAAACCACACCTTTTCTAACTTTGACCCCCAAAATCTGTTATGCATCTACGACTGCCAAAAAACACCTGTGCTAAATAGTTTCTAAATTTTGTCCTGAGTTTAGAAATGCCCAATATTGACATGTTCTTAGTTTTTTTGGAAAGTTGTTGGGCAATAAGTACAAGTAGCACTTTACTATTTCTAAATCATCTTATTTTTTCTTCCAAAATTAACACAACTTACATTGTGACACTGATATCTCAGTGTTGAGGTTTACTGCCAAAGAATACCCCAATATGTGTTCAACATCTCCCGAGTACAGTGATACCACCCATGTATACGGGGCCGGAGTGGCACACCGGGGCACCGGAAAATTTCCAGGCGGGCCGGGCAGACAGCTGGATGTGCTTGCGGCTGCAGGAGGAGCTGTGCTGTATCTGTTCTATGACGTCATATCCCGGTCTCATTAATCTGGGTAGAAGAGAGCACAATTCCCCCGTCGCCATCACACCCAGCTGTCTGCCCTGCACAACACCCTGGCCGGTTGCCCACAGGTATCAATAATATGCGTGTCTGTGTCATGGTGTGTGTGTGTGTGTATATATATATATATATGTATATATATATATGTATGTATGTATATATATGTATGTATATATATATATATGTATGTATATATATATATATGTGTAGTGTATGTATATATGTATATATATATATGTGTGTGTGTGTGTGTTTTTCTCGACGCCGTGCTGGTCTCCCCTCGACTGGCCCTGCCTCTATGGCTGAGATCATCAAACTTGATGATCTCATCCAATGCTTTGCCATATGATTGGCTGCAGAACGTTACACCAATCAGCATCTCATCATACAGATGCATTGATTCAGCACTCTTTACAGCACTGACACAGGAAGCCCCTCTATTGACCGTCTGAGTGACTGTCACTAGGAAGCAATGAAAACACTGCCTTTTCTCTAAAAAGTCAGTGTTTACATTGAAAAGCCTGAAGGGACAGGCTTATAGACACCAGAACCACTACTTTAAGCTGTGTGTGCGCGCGCCTGCTAGTGAGTGAGCTTGTGTTTTTATGTCAATGAGCTTATGTAGATCAGTGAGATTGTCTGTGTCTGCATGTGAGTATGCTTACTGTAAAATTAAACATTTTACTCTTAAAGGACCAATATTTTGTAAGAAAAAGCAATATATATATTCATCTGGGGTGGCAAGACAGCCGTACATATTACATGCGACAATATATGGCGCAATGACTTATGGAGCTGGCATAGATTTATTTTTATTTTATTTTTTCTCTTGAGGGCTGCTTTGTATCACCAGTCCGGCCCTGCATGTATAGGTGTGGGTTCTCTGGGGGCTAAAAGACTTTATTTGGAGTGTGCACATTCCAGTTTTCTAACTTGGAATTTTCACAGCTGGTCATAATGCACTGATGTCCTATTTGGGACAATTTTGAAGCCGGTCAGTGTAATTTACCCCCATCAAACCATCTATTTCTGAAAAGTAGACACCCTAGGGTATTTCAAATGGTGATATTTTAACACTTTCAATGCACTAATTCTTCCACCAGTCTTTGTCAAACTTTTGGGTAGTCATTTTCTTTATTTTTCTCACATTGTACTTTAGGCATGGATTCTCAGTTCCTGTTATGTTACTTACAAAGAAAACCCAGCAACATCTCCTGAGTACAACAATACCTCCAATGTACAGGTTTTATGGGTTTCAGCAAACTTACAGGGGTCAAATGTAGGGCGTTTCCATGTTTGCACACTGAAATTTGCCAGATTGGTTTGCTGGGCCTAGGTTGTCTTTGAGACGCTATGGCAGCCTAGAAATGAAAATTAACCCCACCATGACGTACCATTTGAAAACGTAGACAACCCAAGGTATTCAAAATGGGGTATGTCTAGTCTTTTGTAGTAACCACTTAGCCACAAACACTTGCCCAAATTTGTAATTTGCTTTTTTTTTTTAACCCCTTAAGGACTGGACTGTTTTTGCGATGTTGTACATTTGCGACCAGGCATATTTTTACACTTTTGTGGTGTTTGTGTTTGGCTGCAATTTTCCGCTCTCTCATTTACTGTTCCCATACAAATTATATATTGTTTTTTTCAGGACAAAGGGGCTTTCTTTACATACCATTATTTATATAATCTCATGTATTTTAATTTAAAAAAAATAAAAAAATATGATGAAAAATTGAAAAAATACATGTTTTTTGACTTTTACTTGAAAAATCTTTTACTCATCTACAAAAGCGAATGAAAAAAACTGCTAAATAGATTCAAATTTTTGTCCTGAGTTTAAAAATACCTAGTGTTTACGTGCTTTTTTGCTTTTTTTTGCATGTTATAGGGCTATAGGTACAAGTAGGATATTGCGGTTTCAAAACATACATTTTTAAAATTTATCAATAGTGACATTGTAACACTATTATCTGTCATAAATCTCTGAATAACACCCCACATGTACATATTTTTAAAGTAGACAACCCAGGGTATTCAATATGGGGTATGTCCAGTCTTTTTTAGTAGCCACTTAGTCGAAAACACTGGCCAAAGTAAGCATTCATATTTGTTTGTGTGTGAAAAAAGTAAAAAAACTAAATTGAACGCTAATTTTGGCCAGTGTTTGTGACCAAGTGGTTACTAAAAAAGACTGGACATACCCCATTTGCAATACCTTGGGTTGTCTTCTTTTGCAAATGGTATGCCATCATGGGGGTAATTCTCATTCCTGGGCTACCATACGCTCTCAAAGGCAACGTAACCAACCTGGCCATTTTCAATGTAAAAATATTTGACCCATATATTTGACCTTGTAACTTTCAAAAATGCTATAAAACCTGTACATGGGGGGTACTGTTTTACTCGGGAGACATCGCTGAACACAAATATTAGTGTTTAAAAACTGGAAAACGTATCACAACAATTATATCATCAGTAAAAGTGCTGTTTGTGTGTGAAAAATGCAAAAAAAGTAACTTTCACTGACAATATCATCGCTGTGATATGTTTTACTGTTTTGAATCACTAATATTTGTGTTCAGCGAAGTCTCCCGAGTAAAACAGTACCCCCCATGTACAGGTTTTAGGGTGTCGTAGAACGTTACAGGGTAAAATACAGTGCTAGCAAATTAAATTCTCTGGAATTTCGGCCTGGGTTGGCAGGCAGGTCCCTCAAATTGCAATCAATAAAATTACTGAATTATGTAAAAATATTACATAAATACGCACGTAGAATTTAAATATATATGCATATTTATATATTTGAAGTCTACGTGTATATTTATATAATTATTTATGTAATTTTGTATATGGACATATGTATATTTCTTATTATTTTTATTTATTTTTATATACATAGATATATATACAAATTCATTCTAAGTGTATTTTGATATAAATATATATATATTAATTTTAAAATACAGTTAGAATAAAATTTCATATAGCTATATAATTTTTTTTAAATTTTTTATTATTATTTAAAAAAAAATTTATTTAATTTAAATTACTTATTATTTATATTTTATAATATATATACAATATATATAGTTATTATATATATTATATATATACGTGTGTAATTTAATTATAAGTGTATTTTTATATTAATATAAGTACATATTAATATAAAAATACACTTAGTATGGCATTATATATATGATATATAGACATATATTATATAGATATAATATATGTCTATATATCATATATACACATATATAATTATTTATTTTTTTTTATTAACACTAACTTTATTTTTTTAATTGATTTTACACTAGCAGGGAGACTGCCTGTCAGCACAGACAGTCCCCCTGCAGGCAGACACATGGACACCTATTGTGACCATGTGATCGCTCTGTTAAGCGATCACATGGCCCCAGGGGTCCTAATCTGCCGTGGGGAGACTGTCTGGGCTGCAGGCAGTCTCCCCACAACCAGAGCAACGCTGATCGCCGCCGGGGGAACGACGGCGATCAGGTAAGTAGCTCTGACCGTTAGGACGGTCCTGAACCGTCCTCGGTCCTTAAGGGGTTAAACACACAAACTGCACTTTTACTGGTGGTTTCATCGTCATGATGAGTTTTACGGATTTATAACACTCATTTGTATTCAGCGAAGTCTTCCGAGTGTAACAATACCCCCCATGTATAGATTTGATGGTGTATTGGAAAGTTACGGGTTAAATATAGGGCTTGTCAATTAAATTCTCTGGAGTTTCTGCCTGGTATTATAACTAATAAAATCAAATAATTATGTAGTTGTGTGTGTATGTGTGTATATATATATATATATATATATATATATATATATATAAATAAAACTAAAGCATTGTGTAATATTTGATTTCATTATAGTGTGTATTGAGATGTGTATATTTCTGAAAGTACACATTTAATGAAATCATATATGTATAATATATTATAAAATGCTCTAATTATTTTATAATATATTATACATATATATTTTATTTTTACTTTTTTGCAGCCTGGGGGACTGCCTGACCGCTCAGATAGTCAGCTCCATAGACTCCTATTGCGGCCATGGTGATCACATGGGCCGGGTGACCAGAGCTGTGTCAGGGGGACTGCTGGGGTCTCCAGCAGTGTGTGTGTGTGCCGCCCCTCCACTCTCCCCGCTCTCGACATTGATCGCCGGTTCAGGGCTCCTATTTGCCAGACGTACCTAGTACATCCACGGTCATTAAAGGGATTTGTGGATTTATGTCATACTAAATGTATATTGATTTAAATATATATCTCTCTCAAGATACAGTTAGAACAAATTTAAACCGGTATATAATTTTTTCAATTTTAATATATATGACGTTATGGCAGCCTAGAAAATGTGATTCTTTGTTAAACTAATTTGCATATGCCCACCCAGAATCCTTTGCTGTTGTAACATCGCTGCAGTTATGGGATTTCTGTGGGATAAGCAAGTCTTATGGCTTGACTGGTGTGCAGATTTTTGTTTAACATTGTATTATTTATATATATATATGTGTGTGTGTGTGTATATATATATATATATATATATATATATATATATAATTAAAATACACTTTTAATAATGATGTATGTGTGTTTATGTGCATGTAAAAGTACTTAGCTCATATATACATGTGTATATGATCTAAGTAAGTTTTGTGAACTTTATAAACTCTTATTTAATGTTTTTTAATAACTTTTTTCAGGCACTAGGGGGACAGCCTGAGAGCTCAGGCCTCCTGCAGGCACTGCACAAGCTGACTATTCCGGCCATGCGATCGCGAGGACCCCGTGATCACATGGCCTGGGAAGTGGGGGTCTGCCTGAGGTCCCAGGCAGACCCAGGATCACGATCGCCAGCTATCGGGTAAGTTCCGATCTACTAAATGTCGTACCTGGTACGTCTGGTTTTTAACAACCGTTTTTCTGGAGGACGTACCTGGCATTGCACCAGTCACTAAGGGGTTAAACTTAACTTTTCTCCTTTTCTGATCTTGCTGCGGCTCGCTCTGCCTCCAAGCTTGATGATCTCAGCCAATCCAATGTTTTTCCATGTAAAAGCATTGGGAAGCTTTTGCACAGCTAACCATCTCAGATGCATTGGATCAGTGCATCTCTCAGGAGAAGTTCAGCGTTTTCACGTTCTGCATAGAGGTTCTGAACACAAGAAGCAACTCTAGGGGTCATCTGAGTAACTGCCATTAGGGATGCTACTTGGCACTAATGTAAATAATTGTCTTTTCTTTGTAAAGCTAGTGTTTACATTTAAAAAGCCTGCAGGGTTTGGCTCTGGACAATAGAAACACTGGTAGTGGTTCTGGTGATGATAGTGTCCCTTTAAAGTGTCTCACTTCTATCTAAAATGAGTTAAAAAAACTAAATATGAAATGCTCATATTGACTTATGTTCAGCAACATTCCAAACCAGCAAAAAGATAAAGTAAGAATTACTTTGTCTAGGAATTATTCCTGTGCTTGGCAAAAGGCAGAGCTACCTTTTTTTTTGTCAAGCATTCCGCTGTCAGTGATCACTGAAAGGAAAAGGCGGTCTGTGGAGGATCCCTCCGTGTTGTATTCTTTTATTGTCCCCTGGCAGCTGAAGAGGAACATCTGTGGGAAACCGTTTTAGGCAAGTATAACTCGATTTATCATGCGCCTGTTGGCTTTTGCACCCTATGTATAGCAGTCATGCTGTGGTCTTGGCAAATGGTGACCGAGCTGCTGTAAAAATGAAGGCAATTGTCCAAACCAAAACCTAACAAAGATTTCGCTTTAAGTGCACTCATGCATATTATTTATGATCACACTGAGAGGGGCTGGATGGCTTATAAGGCCCAGTACCGATCACACTTGGTGGGGAGAGGGGACGCTGTGGTAATTAAAATTTCCTTTAAAAGGCAGTATACAGTACTTCCTTTGAGTGAAGCATACAGCTCTTCCATTAGTCTGGGGCCTGTAAATGGAGCCTCAGGTATTGATTGATAACTGGTTCTCCCTGGTGTGAGCTGGGACTTATTTCAACTTTCATTTGTTGCAGAACTGGCCTCTGCAGCCACTGAACATCTAACCTGTTTTTTCCTGGTACATAAGACAATTGTTATCAAATTTTCACTTTTTTTTTTCTTTCTTTATTACAGTTAAAGAAAGTGTATTTTTTTTATTTATTTTTTAGAACATTTTTGGCAGCCTAATTTGTCACCTGCTGCAGTTTCACCAGAACAATAATTACCTCCTAAGTTCTTGACAAAATAGTGTAGTTTTCTTATAACTATTTTGGTTGACTATTCAGAACATATGTCCTTCAGTGTTCTCTTCTAAAAACATTTGAATCAGATGTTTGTTGTAGATACCTTAGATCTTGCTCTCTTCTAAAGAGCAGCACTTTACTCCCACCTTATTTTATTTCTATTTCCTGTTCTTAAGTGTTTTTTATACTCCACCTCCTATAGACTGTAAGCTCGTTTGAGCAGGGTCCTCTTTAACCTTTCGTTCCTGTAAGTGTTCTTGTAATTGTCCTATTTATAGTTAAAATCCCTCCTCTCATAAAATTGTAAAGTGCTATGGAATCTGTTGGTGTTATATAAATGGCAATAATAATGTGTATGTTACACTTCCTTAAGTTTAGCAATATTCTTGTCTCTTTCAGTTTTCTAACTGGTGTGCTAATGGAGATTAGACTTGTGCATAATGCTGGTATGCACAAACAAATCAATCCTTCTGGGATTTGCCTGTGGTGTCTTATTGATTGAAAATCATTAATGCACAAGTCTAGTATTGATGTTACTTAGGCTACAAAAGCATAATTATTCACTAAAGTGAGAATTGTCAGGGATTTAAAGCACTTTTTTAAATTTAATATAAAAATAGTCAAACTAAAAAAGAAAAAAATCTTTTGGTTATTGGGACCTATATTTGAAATTCACTCTATTATGATAATACCCCACTTTTGAATAATCCTGATTTCAATGATACCTAAATAGCAGTGTATTCAGCAGGAGGGAGTACTGGGGAATGATATATATTTACACACACTGCTTCATTAACCTCCTTAAAGGACCACTATAGTGCTAGGAAAACACTCGTTTTCCTGGCACTATAATGCCCTGAGGGTGCCCCCACCCTCAGGGTCCCCCTCCCGCCCGGCTCTGGGGAGAGGAAGGAGTTAAAACTTACCTTTCTCCAGTGTCGGGCGGGGAGCTCTCCTCCTCACCTCCCATTGGGCTGAATGCGCAAGAGCTGCGCACGCATTCAGTCGGTCTCATAGGAAAGCATTTACAATGCTTTCCTATGGACGCTTGCGTGCTCTCACTGTGATTTTTCACAGTGAGAATCACACAAACGCCTCTAGCGGCTGTCAATGAGACAGCCACTAGAGGAATTGGAGGAAGGCTTAACCCATTCATAAACATAGCAGTTTCTCTGAAACTGCTATGTTTATAAAAAAATGGGTTAACCCTAGCTGGACCTGGCACCCAGACCACTTCATTAAGCTGAAGTGGTCTGGGTGCCTAGAGTGGTCCTTTAAGGACAGCGGGTGTTCTATGCCCTCCTTAAGGAGGGGGGCATAGGACATACATGCCAGCAGTCGCAATCCTGGGGACTGTCTGACAGCCCCTAATGGCTGCACAAAAGTTTTATAAAGTAAATAAAAGTACTTTAGAATGTGTGTGTATTGTTGTACCCTTCATCTAGTCTCTACTGTTTGGGTATGTAACTGCTGAACAGCGTAATTTATTAATGTTACACTGGGGTTCTCGGGGGAACGTACAACTCAGCACCCGAACGAGCTATAATCACTAAGTACCTAACAGTTTGGAAGGAACCAAACTAACGGGTCGATTAAATACCAGCTTTCGTTATAATTGGTATCCATGTTTAAAATGGAATGAAGCAAAAATGTGATTCTTCGTTAAACTAATTTGCACATGCCCACCCAGAATCCTTGTCAGTAGTAACATCACTTCAAATTTGTGATTTCTGTAGGAAAAGCAAGTATTGTGGCTTGACTGGTGTGCAGATTTTTGTTTAACATTGTATTAAAAAATAAATATATACTTGGCACTCACCGTTTCTTTAATCCAGGTAGTATATGCCTTGGTGCAATCCCGCGTAAAAAAAAAAATATTTTTTAAAGAGGTGCTCTGACAGGTTTTTTCAATGAAAAAAAATTGTGTAGTTTTATTCCATAGTTCCAGCGCAAATTTTTTTTAAAAATTCAATCGATGTTTTGACCCATTGGGGTCTTTTTTAAGATCAGATCAGAAAAATAGACAACTCAAAGTATTGCAAATGGGGGTATGTCCTGTGTTTGTGGTTGGTTGTGTTTTTTTTGTTGTTGTTTTTTGAGTAGCCACTTAGTCACAAACACTGGGCAAAATGAAAAATAAGTGTAATTAAATGCATGCCTTTAATTTGGGGGTATATCTACTAAACCGTGCTGATTTGTATTTAGACAGTGGAGGTATTAACCCCCTCGTAGCAAAACTGAATTGTGTCTCTCAAACATCCACATCTACCTGACAAAGGTAAATATGGGGATATTGATGTACTCAGAAGACATACTAAGTATTATACAGCCGCAGCGCACACAAGGTTTGCAAAATATACTGTAAAAACACACTGTATCAAAAAGGAAGAAATTATGCTTATCACTACACTTGGTACAAACTTGCAAAACAAATTGTGAAATTATATTCCTTGTATTTTGTGAACTGTAATTTTCAAAATAAATTAGTTATGTACTGTGTAAAGCAAGACACATGAATTAATTTATTTTAAATTACTGTTCCAAAGTTGGACATATGAAAATGTTATTGCTAAAACTGTGAAAATATATTTATTTATTAAATGAGAATTTATATATCAAATTAAATTAAAGCGCCTTTTTGTCCTTTAAATAAAGGTATACAGTTGCAAGAAAAATTATGTGAACCCTTTGGAATGATATGGATTTCTGCACAAATTGGTCATAAAATGTGATCTGATCATCATCTAAGTCACAACAATAGACTATAAGTCTGCTTAAACTAATAACACACAAAGAATGAAATGTTGCCATGTTTTTATTGAACACACCATGTAAACATTCACAGTGCAGGTGGAAAAAGTATGTGAACCCCTAGACTAATGACATCTCCAAGAGCTAATTGGAGTGAGATGTCAGCCAACTGGAGTCCAATCAATGAGATGATATTGGAGGTGTTGGTTACAGCTGCCCTGCCCTATAAAAAACACACACCACTTCTGGGTTTGCTTTTCACAAGAAGCATTGCCTGATGTGAATGATGCCTCGCACAAAAGAGCTCTCAGAAGACCTACGATTAAGAATTGTTGACTTGCATAAAGCTGGAAAGGGTTATAAAAGTATCTCCAAAAGCCTTGCTGTTCATCAGTCCACGGTAAGACAAATTGTCTATAAATGGAGAAAGTTCAGCACTGCTGCTACTCTCCCTAGGAGTGGCCGTCCTGTAAAGATGACTGCAAGAGCACAGCGCAGACTGCTCAATGAGGTGAAGAAGAATCCTAGAGTGTCAGCTAAAGACTTACAAAAGTCACTGGCAAATGCTAACATCCCTGTTAGCGAATCTACAATACGTAAAACACTAAACAAGAATGGATTTCATGGGAGGATACCACAGAGGAAGCCACTGCTGTCCAAACAAAACATTGCTGCACGTTTACAGTTTGCACAAGAGCACCTGGATGTTCCACAGCAGTACTGGCAAAATATTCTGTGGACAGATGAAACACACAACAATATGTGTGGCGAAAAAAAGGCACAGCACACCAACATCAAAACCTCATCCCAACTGTGAAGTATGGTGGTGGGGGCATCATGGTTTGGGGCTGCTTTGCTGCGTCAGGGCCTGGACGGATTGCTATCATCGAAGGAAAAATGAATTCCCAAGTTTATCAAGACATTTTGCAGGAGAACTTAAGGCCATCTGTCTACCAGCTGAAGCTCAACAGAAGATTGGTGTTGCAACAGGACAATGACCCAAAGCATAGAAGTAAATCAACAACAGAATGGCTTAAACAGAAGAAAATACGCCTTCTGAAGTGGCCCAGTCAGAGTCCTGACCTCAACCCGATTGAGATGCTGTGGCATGACCTCAAGAAAGCGATTCACACCAGACATCCCAAGAATATTGCTGAACTGAAACAGTTCTGTAACGAGGAATGGTCAAGAATTACTCCTGACCGTCGTGCACGTCTGATCTGCAACTACAGGAAAAGTTTGGTTGAAGTTATTGCTGCCAAAGGAGGTTCAACCAGTTATTAAATCCTTTTACACATACTTTTTCCACCTGCACTGTGAATGTTTACATGGTGTGTTCAATAAAAACATGGCAACATTTCATTCTTTGTGTGTTATTAGTTTAAGCAAACTGTGATTGTCTATTGTTGTGACTTAGATGATGATCACATTTTATGACCAATTTGTGCAGAAATACATATCATTCAAAAGGGTTCACATACTTTTTCTGTAGAATGTGTGCAATTAATATGAAAAATACTAATTTTAATTGAACCCAAACATCAAAAAATTCTAAATTTGCTCTGTCCTCAAATGTATGTCCTGCTTCGAAAGCTGCGCTCTTAAAGGGACTCTCCAGTGCCAGGAAAACAATCCGTTTTCCTTGCACTGCAGGTCCCCTCTCTCTCCCACCACCCATCCCCGGTTGCTGAAGGGGTGAAAACCCCTTCAGTGACTTACCTGAGACCACTGCTGATCTCCCTCGGCGGTGGTTTCAGGTCGCTGCTGCTCCTCCCCTTCATCACGTCAGCCGGCGCATGCACATTAGAGCTCTCCATAGGAAAGCATTGAAAATGTTTTTCAATGCTTTCCTAAGGGGAATGAGCGATGCTGGAGGAAGTGCACAGGAAGTGCTATGAAGCAGGAAGTGCCCTTTAGTGGCTGTCTAGTAGACAGCCACTAGAGGAGGAGTTAACCCTGCAAGGTAATTATTGCAGTTTATGAAAACTGCAATAATCACAGTTGCAGGGTTAAGGGTAGTGGGAGTTGGCACCCAATGGGGAAAAGTGGTCTGGGTGCCTGGAGTGTCCCTTTAAGATATTAGGGTATTTTAGAAGAAAATAAACTTATACTTGTAGTGTATTATTCACACTACTTAGGTGACCAATCTTCCTTTTGCCTCCTTTCAAAAAGAGTTGTTACTTACCCATTTACTAAGCACCACTCAGGTCCGCTGGTACCGGCTGCTCCGCCTCCTTGGCTGAGTTCATCAGAATTGACATTCTCAGGTAATCCAATGCTTTTCTTGAAAGCATTGGGCGGCTAATGCGTACGCTGGACCATCACAGAGGAGCCTATGCCACCTATGAGATGGCTCTTGAGGTGCACAGTGGCAAAGGAGCCTCAGCACTGGAAAAAGATAAGTAATTTTTTTTTTAAAGCTAGACGTGACTTCCCATAGGAAAGCATGGAATAATGCTTTCCTATGGGGAAATCCTAATGTGAGTGCAGCTGTTGCTGTGCATTAGGTCTCCCATATGGGTGGGGCCAAGCCAGAGCTGATGGGCATCACCGCTGGACCTGATCTTGTTTTCCTGGCACTAGTTTCACGTTAATGATATATCTGTTAAATTTAAAAGCACTGACGTTTTACTCACCAATGGCCCCATCTAGGCTGTAAATGTTAACCTTCTCAGGACTCACCCACTGACGAATACTTGACTTTTCTGCCTGATTAGGTGGTGATGTTTTAACTCTATTTTTAAGGATTCTCCTGCAAAGCAGAATTGGTAGACTTTTAGCAGCTCACATATGGGATTATTCACTAAACAATTTGGGACAAATTTTGTCCAGACTGGCAAAAGTGGGTGAAAATGACCAGATTCTAACTGGGTTTGCAGAAATCTTGCAGAAGTTTGGTGATGACCAATCGTACTCTTGTGTGTAAATCAAATATGATCATCTTATTTGACGAAATACCGGATATTGCCTGGAGACAAGTAAAACGGATTGAAAAATTAACTTGCAGGTGAGTGGACAATTTGAGCCCTGATAGTTTTGTTATGAGAAACTACATGTTAATGTAATGTAGGAATAGTCATATTAAGCACAACTTTTAACTTGTTCATAGTAGCTGGAGCACTGGCAACAAAGGCCAAATATGTAATGCATTGTTTTATCAGGAGTAACACATTGAGCTTTTGCAGAACCAGACAATGTGTTTAAAACAAAAAAAAAACCTCAAACTATGCAATCTTGTTACAAGGTTAAACATGTAACCTCTCAACTGCTCAAACACTTACTGCTAACTCGTTCTTGCAGGACTTCTCACAGGCGTCTCTTTTCCTCCCAAACAGTCTACCTACAACCATCAGACTCTAGCCTTGTCTTCAATCATTTAAAGGACCACTATAGGCACCCAGACTGCTTCAGCTTAATGAAGTGGTCTGGGTGCCTGGTCCAGCTAGGGTTAAACCTTTTTTTTTTTTTTTTATAAACATAGCAGTTTCAGAGAACACTGAGGGTTAATCCAGCCTCTACAGCCTCTAGTGGCTGTCTCATTGACAGCCGCTAGAGGCGCCTGCGTGCTTCTCACTGTGAAAATCACAGTGAGAAGATGCCAGCGTCCATAGGAAAGCATTGTAAATGTTTTCCTATGAACTGGCTGAATGCGCGCGCGGTTCCTGCCGCGCATGCGCATTCAGCCGATGACGTCGCTAGGAAGGAAAAGAGGAGGAGGAAAGTAAGATTTGTAACCCATTCCTCTCCCCAGAGTCCGGCGGGAGCGGGACCCTGAGGGTGGGGGCACCCTCAGGGCACTATAGTGCCAGGAAAACAAATGTTTTCCTGGCACTATAGTGGTCCTTTCAGAAGACCCCTCAAAACCAGTCTCTTCAGAAAAGCTTATGGCCACCCTGAGTAACTTCTATTTCACAAACCTGTCTCTCTCTCCTAAAAGTCCTCATTCCACTCTTACCTCAAGTTCTGCTACCTTCCAACCTTGTTGTTTGGTTGCTATCCCCCTCGATGCCCTTCTTACTGTGTTTTTATATCCCACGTCCTCTAGACTGTAAACTCGTGTGAGCAGGGTGCTCATCAACCTATTGTTCATGCAACATTTTGTAATTATTTTATTTGTTAAATGTCCCCCTTTTATAATGTAAATTGCTATGGAATAAGTTGGCGCTATATAAATGCCAAATAAATGTATGATTCATTATGCATAGTTGCTATACACAATGAAATTTTGTGGAATCAAATTGCAGACCACTGGTTTTTGGAGGGGCCTGTTTACCAGCCTCTTACCCTGTAACTATGGCCCTTGCAATAGACCTGGCTAAAATAATTGAAACCGGCTCTGTTCGTGCATCTTTGTGGCTGCAATTCATATGGCTGACCACGAGGTGGCGACCATCTTGTTCACATGGACCAAAACCGTGAATATACTTCAGGGGGACTTAGCCGCAAATGCCCTGGAACTATTTTCGGCATGAAAACCTTGCAGTTCTCGGTCTGTCTTCCAGCGGCAGTTAGCCGCAATTCTGTGGAACTATTTTGGGCTCTAGGACCATGCCCGCGGTCGCTAAAAACTATGACTTCCATAAAATGTCTGAACCCCTGAACTGATCTGGGTGAGTTTTGGATATGTTGGTCACCCAGATCAGGGGATGTAACATTTGTGGGGTTTTATATGTTTTTTAAAAAGTATGTTTTGTTTTTGTCTGTGCTTGGAGATAATTGGTTTAGAATTAGTACAGTTACTGATCCAATTATATCTCAAGCAGGGAGGAGGGATTGTATGTTTGTTATGGGAGTGTTGTGCATGTTTGGGGGATTGGAGAACTACATTCACTCCGGGGATTGCTATAATCACTATACTCCCCCGGGTATAATCACTAGCTCTTATAAAAGCTGTTCTTGCTACACTCTCTGGACTAGGAGAGGTCTACCCACTGGAAGCTGGATCTTGGTCTTGGTTCCAGGGTGGGTGGAGGATGGCGAGACCCCAACCAAGCTGCGCCAGTTTGTGATGTCTACGGTGGTTATGTTGTTCTAGTACAGTGCTTGTACTCACAAATATTAGGAAGCAACGATTGACGGAGGTACCCAGTCGGGGGTGCCAGGCGGTCCATCACAACCATAACTAATTTAAGTGGTTGACCGAGTGAACCCCCTGCCCCAGGTGCCTAAGGCTCGACACCGAGCTCTGATTTCTGCTGTAATGTGAAATGTAATCATCAATTAACAATGACCATTTTGTCCAACTGTGGATGGCATTGATTGAGCGTGCATGCTAGTTAGAGCATGCCAAACACACTAAAGGGACACTGTAGGTACTCAGACCCCTTCAGCTCATTGTAGTGGTCTGGGTGCAATGTCCCATGTCCCTTAACCTTACAGTGGTAATTAATGCAGTTTCTGAGAAACTGCAATAATTACCTCTGAAAGCTAACTCCTTCTCTAGTTACTGTCTAGTGGGACTTCTGGAATCAAAAGAGGCCTTTGGTTTAAATGACTCTGGACGTCCTGACGCTCTCCATGAGGACCTCCAGCGTCAGACTTTCCCCCCCATAGGTTGGTGAAATCCTATTGTGAGCGTGGCCATTGCCGTCAGCATGGGCGGAGCCTAAACCAGCACCGAGGGACATCTGTGCTGGATTCAGGTAGCACCGCTGGAGGGGGGTCCACTGCAGGAGCCTATAGTGCCAGGAAAATGGGTTTGTTTACTGGCACTATAAAATCCCTTTGTTATGCTCTTTATGTACGTTTTAAGGATATCTTTTGGCACACTTTGGTTTGCAAAAAGTATCTTGAACAGTAACATTGCCATAAGTGTGCCTGCAAGATTCTATTAATGAAGTAAGCTACACATAAAAAAACAAACAAAAAAAAACATCTTTTCATATTAACATGGTGTACGCACCTATGGTCATCAGTGAAAGTCTCCACCTGAAAAAGTGTTTTATTGCGGTCTTTCAGGAGTTCATTGTGGTGGTCATACAAGGACTTTAGACTGTAATCTAAACTGTTAGATGGAGCCTATTAAAAAAATAAATAAAAAAAAAATTTGTGGAGATTTGTATTTTCACATAATCAAAACATGAAGTGTGGAAGGTCTAATTTTTTTATTGAGGTTTTTCAGGAAAAGCACAGTATTTTCTGAAATGGGTGATCTGATTAGAACATTTTTGCATTAATGAATTAAAGTAAGTGTGACAGACTTTGACTCACCTCTGGATCATTGTAATAATAAGATCTCCTGGCACTGGAAAGTGTTGGGGTGGCATTTAAACGATTCCATGGATCTTCCTGCTGTGCTATGTAAGATGGTTTCTTGTAAGTTGCTTTCTGCAAGTCGCAGGAATAATCAGAATAATGAATACATATATGAATAAAATTATATTCTCTTTAATTTTGTTAGAAGTGGTCAAATCTGCAAATCATCGGATTCATACCCTATTTTGTACAAATATTTTGGCATATTCAATATTCATTACTGTGTTCTTTTGTGTTAACATTTTGTAAAGTACGAGGGTGGAAACTTTAGTCCTCCACCCATGGCCTCATCCAAAATCACTGTCTACCCCATGCCCCATCAATGGCCAGTTTCAAGCCTCATTCTGTGTGGGGCCATTGCGAGACGAAGGTGGATTTTTCTTTGTTGCATCCGTTTTGTTTTCCCCATCAGAATCTTCAGTTACATTACACAAGTGTGTGTGTATATGTGTGTATGTGTATGTATGTGTGTATATATATATATATATATATATATATATTTTCTTTTTTTTATTTACAAAGAGGAGTCCTTTGTGGAGCAGTTTAGTGGAATCTAAAAAAAAAAAAAAAATACCCACAGACAATATTAGGCTGTATCATTATACAGATATTAGTGTTAAAGGGCCACTATAGTGCCCTGAGGGTGCCCCCACTCCCGCCGGGCTGAAGGGGGAGGAAGGGGTTAATCCCTTACCTTTTCTCCAGTGCCGGGCTCCCTCGGCGATGGGACTCTCCTCCCTCTTCTAATGTCATCGGCTGCATGCGCGGCCGCGCATTCAGCCAGTCTCATAGGAAAGCATTCTCAATGCTTTCCTATGGACGCTGGCGTCTTCTGTCTGTGAAAATCACAGTGAAAAGCGCAGAAGTCAATAGAGACTGGATTAACCCATAGGTAAACATAGCAGTTTCTCAGATGCATTTGGTTCTGATTTTTGGTTAAAACTGGTGCCTTGTGAATCTTGCAAACCCTAAACTTTGTATAGGATTTCCATGTGAAATCACTGAACCAGACACTGAACGCATTGCCAACCGAATTAAGCAAATCTGGATCTTGATTCATTATACATTCTTGCTTTAACCCCTTAAGGACCAAACTTCTGGAATAAAAGGGAATCATGACATGTCACACATGTCGTGTCCTTAAGGGGTTAAATAGCATCCTATGCATGATTATTACCAGCATTGTTACTAGTATTTATTACTGATAAAAGTACTCATCTGACTGTGTTTACCTACCGGAATCTCCCTCCCTTGGAAAGTGTCTTCATTCTCAAAACGAGGATATGGAAATGGGTCCCTAGTAGTGGGCATAATGTCAAATTTGTGAAAAGTCCTAGATGTCTGTGTGTGGTGAGCCTGTTATTATGTGCTTCTTCTGTTCAGCTCTGACTTTGTGTTGATAGGTTGCTAGGCAATGATGACAGTGAAACCGGAAAGAGCCAGGGGGATGTTTGTCTAACCTATCAACACATTCTGAGAGTCACTACAAGAATTAGAGCATGCCTACCAGTTTTTGTGTTGTAAGTGTGGAGTATAGTTTTGAATGCTATGTAATAAAAAAAAAAAAAAAAAGTGGTGCTGTTTACTAGTTATAATTACAAATGCCAACAACAGACCACAACTTTTATTGTCTTCTTCCTTGTGCAAAAGAATGGAGATTAATATTAAAAGCTTAGCTTTCCATTATTCACATACAGTCAGTAGCATACCTCCCAAACTTTCAAATGCACAAAGAGGGACAATTTCATTTTAGGAGTGTGATTGGGGATGTGGCCAGGGAGGGACTGTTCTGAGAAATTTTAGTTGACTTACTAATAATTTATGCAAGTAAAATGTAATTTAGAACACAAACAATATATCTTATTTGTACAGACTGATTTCTAATCACGTCTATTGCAGTTTAAAGACACAATATGAATCTCTTAAAAAAGAGGGACATTGGGATAGAGGGAGCATCAGCTGACCAGTCTCAGCCAATCAGTGGTGACCATCCCCAACGGCATTCCAAGCTTCCTGAAAGTGAAATTCCAAAATCCGGATGCCACCTTGTGGCAGTGGAGATTACCACTTTTAAAGTGTTATTTAAAAAAATTTTTTATTTTTATTTTATTTTGCGTTTGCATTACAGAACGACATCACAAGTCACCCTACAATTTGTCACCTTATCTCACAGTGTAACAATACCTAGCACTCTTTAGGTACATCATTCAGATGTAGAATCACAAATATATATTATCACTCCACCCACACGGTATCAGCAAGTCATATTTATGACCTATATTCCCCTGGTCTTGTAAGTTAAACAGTGCTGGTAGGAGTAGTGTTTGTTTACCATGCATGTTGTTATTTGCAGCATTTAGTGATGCCTCCTAGTTATTTACAGGGTACCAGGTGTCTTAGCAAGTTGCAATACATATTGTGCATAATAAAATATAACATATTGTAACAGAAAATATAACAACGTTAAACCTAAAAGTTGATCCAGCATGTATAACAGACATTACTTTTCCTGCCACGGTTGTCATCTATTGCATGGGTGGTGTAGTTTGGATCCAGAATACTCTTTGTCTGTGTGCACCCCCCCTTGTACCTTTGCCCTTTATTTATCCATTCCTGTTCTTTAGTGTGGATTCCACTGTGCTTTAACTGCCCTGAGGATATCGTGTGCGTGTATCTAACACCTGTTTGCCTCCCAGGAGGCTGTGCATGTTTTTATGTTTCCCCTGTTACTTTGCAAGACCTTTATAATTCTTCCATGGTTCCCAGATTTTTTCATATACATGTATTTTGTTCTTTAATGACCTTCTCATTTCCTCCATCACCCTTACATTTTCCACCCGAGAATGCCAAGTCGTCTTTGATGGCTGATTAACCTTTTTCCAATTTGCCGCCACTTCTATTTTTGCATTTGTGTTGCGATGTGTTAGATTCCGGTACATGCAAGAGCATCGTCTGGATATCTAGGGCCAAGGACAACCCCAGTACTTTTTTTAATCATATCCCTCACCTCCCTTCAGTATTTTGTACTATGGAGCTTTCCCACCAGATATGTTGCAGAATACCCTTTTCTTTGTGACTGCGCCAGCACATCTGGGAGATAGAACTATCTATGTTATGCAAACTTTGTGGTGTGATATACCAACTAGTGAGTAACTTAAGGTTCGCCTCCTGTAATGGTATATAATATTTATATGTGAGTGAAAGGTCCTCTGGAACACCAAAAGCCATGTCTGGTCAGGTAAGGGTTCAGTGAGGTGTTTGTTCCAAACTCTCACATACCAGGGAAGTGTCGATTGTTTGGCGACCTGCAACATAGGGTTGACATCGTTTAAGTAGGGGTTTTCGTCTGTGAGCATATTTACTCGTATTTAGTTTCTGCTCTGATACCTGTCACTGAGATAGGTGGGATATTAATCAAGTCTTTTAATTGGTGGTATTGAACACTTTGAGAGAATGACGAAGGATGTTGCGAGGTCAACTGAGATATAGGTTTGATCATTGTATTGGATAACCAATCTCCTATTGGTGGTGATTTGGTCTGTGGGGTTACATGATTTGGTGTTAGTGTTGAGCCCTTTACATCTGCTAGGAACATTGAAGTGTGTGCTATCGAGAAATTAGGTAAGATCCCTGGGGCAATGGTGTGTAGTGGTGCTAATTTTTTCCAGATTTGTAGGGTCGTGGACATAACTGGGTGGCTAGGCATAAAGTCGTAAGATGTAATTGCGTGCAACCATGGTAATCCTTGTAGAGGCGTTTGTATGTGGGTCTGTTCTATTTGTATCCATAATTAGGAATCAGTTCCACTGACTCAGTCTATGACTCTACTAAGGAGCACATCATATTGGTAATATAGTATACTTCAGAGGCCTCTCCCTCCCCTGGATTTGGGTTTCAGTAGGGTTAGGTATGCTATGCGTGGCCGCTTCTTGCCAGAATAAAGCCTGTGAAGACCTGCAGTGTCTTAAAAAATTATTTTGGTAATGTTGAAGGTAGTGTGTTAAGTATATACAGTATTCGGGGTAAGATTAATTGTAATTATATTGACTTGACCCAGCTAACTTTCTAAAGTAGGGCTTGTTACACCTATTTAGATCTTGTTAGATAGCCTTCAGCAGTGGTGGGTAGTTTGCCTGATATAATTCATTTAAATCTTTTGATATGTTCACCCCAAGTATGTTAATGTGATTTTTTTCCCCCCCAGGAAAACAGGAATTTTTCTTTGTCTCCCATGGTTAGATTCAAGATTTCACTCTTTTCTATGTTTACTTTGAAGTTGGATACAGCGCTGTACCTAGTCAGTTAGCTCATCAGATGTATTTTTTCGCCCTAAAATTAAGGAGGATCTTAAGGTCGTTATAAAAGTGAGACCAATTTAGTGTAATCTGCTTCTGTCTGTGAGCGTTTGTGGGTATTTTCTAATGTCCATATATCTTCCAAGAGTTTGCGTCTATTTAGGGATCTCTCTCGATTTAATCTGGCCCCCATTTTATCAGTTCCCCCCCCGATCACACTTTTGTTTGCTTCCCACTGCATATATGGGGAGGTAACTGGGGTATTATTTTCGCGGAAGCAGTGTTGTATACTTTCTGTTATGTGTTTCACTTTTTTATTTCGTAGAATATAGGGGCTCAACTTACATTGCTGGAATGGTTTGGGCATCGTGTTTATTGAAATGGTAAGCGAGACAGGCGCGTGGTCCGACCAGGTTATGTGTCCTATAGGGGATTTTGTGACCAGACTCATGGTAGACCATGAACATGTCCAGTCTAGTGTAAGTGTTGTTGGAATGGGAGTAGAACGTGTCTTTCAGGCCTGGGTTCATAATCATCCAACAGTCTAACAATTGGTTTGTGTGCACTCTGTTTCATACATTTGCTAATGGGCTCAAGATATGCCAGGCTCTGCGATGTGCTATCCTGGTCGGGATCCAATAATACATCCTGTGACCATGGTATAATACTGTGCTGCATCATGGACATTAGACATGTGCATGAACATGATTTCAAACATTCAAACATGATTTCGTCCGAATTTTCAGACTTTTTCGTATTCGTTCATATAAATACGAAAATCCTTCATGCAAATTATATACGAAACGAAAGGGCAAATGCTGAATGCATTACCTTTTTGGTTTCAGTTATTTTGTTTAATAGACTTCGTGCTGCAGGAGAATTAAAGCGGCACTGTCATGCTGAACTTACCTTTCCCAAATCGTCTCCTCTTCTCTCCCTTTCTCTTCTGTTCTTACTAATAGGAAGTAAATATTATTTAGTATTGGTAATAAATCTACCCCTACTCGATATACCACGAGTAGGGGCATGTCTACTAAAGAAGATGTTTACTGTTGTAAAAAGATCCCCCACTACTTTAATAAAGTGCCCCTTAGTGGGGCACCTATAAAAATCAGTGACGGGGGGGAAAAGTGTCGGCATCCCCCCGAGCCCCCACTCATGCACCAAGAGTGGGGGCCAGTAAACTAAACGCGAGACCTTGTGTCCTCCCTCGACCCCCACCCATGAGCTGCGGGTGGGGGCCCTAAAATACAATAGGGGGAAGGACCTACTGTCCTATTCCCTCCCCCCCGGCCCCCACCCATGAGATGCAGCAATAGGGGGGTCCGATTGTCCACCCCTTACCTCACCCATGTGTGGCAGGTGGGGACCCTAAAATGCAATAGGGGGGACATATTGTCCCCTCTCCCCAGGCTCAACCCAATAGGGGGGACCCATTGTCACCAAGCCCCTAGTCACCCCATCAAATAAAAGCCTACCTACCCCCATCACCCTAAAAATAGTGAGGGTGGGAACCAATAAAACTAAATACCTGAAAAAAATAAAATCATACTTACAATTAGAAGTCTTCTTTCTTTTACAACCTTTTTTTTTTTCCAGCCCCCAAAAAAGGCCAAATAAAAATCCATAATTCCCATCGAACTTATAAAATAAAATAAACAAGCACGAAATAAAAAACTCAGGAAAAAAAAATACGGACGCTAACAAAATAATCCATCTTCACCCAGCGAGGGCACCACGTAGACTGAGCTCCGCAGGGTGGGGAGAGGATTTTAAAGCCTTTCCACACCCTGCAATTTGACTCAGAGCACTCTGATTTGCTGGTTTAAGCCAACCAATAATAGTGCTCTGATAGGTAAATCTTGAGCCTTGCCTGATAGGTAAATCATGAGTCTTTCAAGTAACCAATCAGAGCAGTCTTATTGGTTTGAGTGGGTGATTAGGAAGACCCTAGTCACTTTGGGGGGGGTGGGGTCATTTTTACATTTTGCCCCCACCCATCACCCATGGGTGGGGGACAATAAGTGCCCCCCTTGTCACTTGGGCCACCACCTGCCGATCATGAGGGGGGACAATAGGTTCCCCCATATTGTATTTTAGGTTCCCCACCCGCCACACATGGATGTGGGCTGAGGCGG